CTCGGTCTGAAATGGGTACAAGACCCAGCTTAGGAGGCTTCCAGACACTGGGTTGGATCCAGCAATGTGCAAGCAGAAACATAAGTGAACTTAGCGCAGTCCCACTTGCTCAAGATCTCATATAAGACCTAGCACTTTACTCCCTATGTAGCATAGTGCCCAGAAATTGGTTGCACAAGATCTTGCTCAAGCAGAAACACAAGTGGGATACAGTAAAGTCTGGCTTAGTGCAAGCAGCTACCCTGGACTTTCTCTTGTGTTTCCACTTGCATAAGAGCTCTGGAGCCAGTGGATATTTTGCTCTGGATCTAACCTACCATTTGGAGTGGTAGTGTGGTACAGGAAGTATCTCAAAGAAGAAGGAGGTACTTCCTGTTTAAGGTGTTGAATGCTACCAGTGTAGTGGTTGTACCACCATGCTGTTGCTAGTCCATGTGAGAAGCAAGCTATCAGCCCTGAGACTGGCATCCTGAGCTTGTGGATAGCCAAGCCAGTGCTCTTATTCATAGTTCTGATCACACCCAAATATAGTCTGGAAATGCTCATATCACATATATCACACACATTCTTCTTCAGTTCTGTTCTAGCAATGGGCCAGCAAGTGACTCAAACACAGCTGGCATGTACATGTTCTTGTTTTCTCTCTTTTTCTGTTGCACACATATAATGCATGTTAAACAAACACCACACCACACACTATACTGAACTATTTTATATTTATTTAGAAAATTTCTAGATCACCTTTTGCCACATCTGGTTCCCAGGGTGGTTGGTTCACAATGCAATTTAAAACCAAATGACATAAATTTCACATCTAGATCCAGGAACACTTATTATGTTTTTATTTATTTCTCCCTTTCACTGTAATCCTACCCTGGAAGTTCTTAGAGAATGAAAATGGCTTTTCAACATGGCTGTATCAAGGGACTTATCAGATTAGAGGCCCTGACAGATGCAAAATGAAGAATGGGGATGGAGGTAGGGGTTGCTGTTGTTCCTGAGAAGACAGCTGCAAATTCCCAGAGGTCCCCAAAAATGTCTCTGAACAAGGGTCACTGCCCACTGGCACTTTGCAAAAGACTCGTCCCCAGGTGTTTAGCTTCAGCTAAGGATTGCTTTGCTGGCTTAATTTGCAAAATCTGAGACATAATGTACAAGTGAAGCACTTTTCAGCACTTTAATATATACATGTATAATGTTACAATAACAGTAGAGCAGGTTTCATAAAATTTTAGAATTTTAGACTCAAGGCAACCTGGTTTCTAAAGCTGCCTCTCTGTTCACTGAATTAACATAACCATCTTCAGTTCCCCTAACTGTGACTTAGAGCTGTTCATTTTCTTCAGACTCACACTACTTTGCTTAAGCTAAAATTGGCCCGCTTCAAATACATTAACAAATGGGCCACTTATACATTTACCAGAGTGCCCATATTTGTTTCTACCTTTAAAATGGTGCTTAACTTGCTAAGATTTCAGGCAATGTTGAGAGGTGACAGGTTAATAAGAAATATGCCAGCAGTGCAACTGTTATGCACAGTTACTGCAGTCTAAGCTTGCTTACTTTAGTGGTGTTAGACTGCAGTAACAGAATTGGATTGCACCATAAATGGTTTTTTTGCATTTTAATTAGCTGGAGGCAAGAAAAGGTACGTCATGGACACAGCACTGAATATACCATGCAGGATAGAGAGCATGCTCCTGCAATAACTGATTCAACTAATAATTTTACTTGATTTTGAGAAGGTTTTAAGATCTTTCATTCCAATCCTTGGACAAAGACTGAAAAATATAGAGCTTCAACACTGGGTGTAAAGAAACACATATAACAAAGGACTACAGTTGATGGAAAAGAACTAGTAGTGGTGCTGAGAGAGGGAAAAATCATAAACTGAGAGGGCAGAAGGAGAGCAGGAAGAGTAGAAGGAGAGCAGGAAGTAGCCATGCACCCACCCATCATGCCTAAACGCAGTTCTGGTTTGAAGACCCCCCCCTGCTTCCCTCTTCTTCCAAGTTGCCACTCAGCATGCCATCAAAGGGAAGCAAGGGGGCAACCCTCCTAACTGCCTTGGTCAGCCGTGAACCCTCTCAGCAGGGAACACTTTGTGTTCAGTTTTAATTAGCGTTTGTAATTTTGACTCTTCTGAACTGCTTTGGAAGCCATTTTTTATTGCTGAAAAGCAAGACAGAAGTCTACGAAATAAATTCATAAAACTTCTTGAGTGCTAGAATGCCTTTCAAACCTCTTCATTATCCAAAAATGTATTAGCGACACTCTCATGCACAGGTTTCCCTTTGCAACCACCAGGGAAGGAAACATGCTTTATTCACAAAAGAAAATTCAGCACCAGTTTACATGTGACCTTTTCCTTCAGGTGGATAACATCATGATGTAGAAAAGAAAGTGAGTATACTTGTGTACATGTGAAGAGAGTGTTTATATTGCCATGAAAGCTGTTGTATGCATCAGCTTCCAAGCAATACTGGTGGTGGAAAGAGCAGACAAGTGACAGCTGACTTATGATTACCCCGTAGGGCAGAGGTGTTGAACTCATTTGTTACGGGGACGGATCTGACATAAATGTCATAAATGTCGGGTAATGCCAGGCACAGGAGATATAAACTTTATAAAGGACACAGGCAAACCCAATTAATGATATTATTTTTTTACTCAAAATGCAAACATGCTTCAAACATTAACAGTATTTTATAGTATTTTCTTAAGGTATCTCCCTGATGCCCACCCTCCTACTTCCACCACCCATTACGCATTAGCACTGGGACAGTATACAGGGAAATAATGCACAGCCTCCATCGTCTGGCAATAAAGGTAATGACCAGTTGCTCATGGGCTGGAAAAGAGCCCTGGATGGTCCGGTTCTGGCATGCGGGTTGTATGTTTGACACCCCTGCCATAGGGTTTTCAAGACAAGAAACCTTCAGAGGTGGTTTGCCATTGGCTGCCTCTGCATTGTGACCCCAGTATTCCTTGGTTAGGCTTGCCAAGTCCCCCGGGGGGGGGGGCGGGGAAACCCCCGCCCCAGAGGCCCATTACCCACCGCCGGCGGATCGGGCCCCGGGGGAACCCCACCCCCAAAGCACGCGACATGCCCGGAGTCAGCACATCGCTCGGAAGTGACACAGTCGTGTCGGGCGCGTTGGGGGCGGGGCCGCAGTTATCCGAGGGAAAACTCTATGGTTTTCCCTTGGATGATTACTGGCCCCGCCCCCAGCATGCCCGACGTGTGTGCGTCACTTCTGGGTGACATGGTTGTGGCGCGCGCACTCCCGGAGCAGTGCTGGAGTCCCCCGCTGTACATACAGCGGGGACTTGGCAACCCTATCCTTGGTGAACTCCCACCTGAATACTAAGAAGGGCACCTCTCCTCCTTTCCTTTCTTCTGCTAACAGCTATATAACAATAGCCAATTCATCCCCACACACACACCCTTTTTTTAAAAGGAAAGAG